TTCCAGTGAGGCTAACTGGAGAGAGTATTTATTCATGAATATACCAGAACCTAAACTAGAAAAGAAAATAGATTAACTATTACCAGACCAACAGACCAGGAAGTAAAAACTAGCTGGAAAAAAGGGGAAAAAATGCTTTTCTAACTTTTAACTTGAGAAATATTTAAAATTTGGTCCAGTTCTACTTCCTATCTATCTAGGTAACAGATACAGATATGAAATAAAACAAAACAATTTCAAATCTTCTTCCTTTTCTGCTCTGCTTTTTAAGCAGTGAGGAGAGGGAAGGTAAGGAGAAGTTTAGGTGATTAGAAAATAGGGAAGTAGGAAGAAAAAAGAAAATTGAATAATTGCCTATACAGTAATGGGCACTTTTCTGTTCTCTTGCTTTTGCTTTTTGAAATTAGGAGCTTAATAAAGCCTGAATCTTCTATCACTTCCTCAAGAGAATACCACACACAGAAATTGTGCTCAAGTTGGAAGATAAGAGATTATTTTAATTGGGTTGTAAAGGATGGAGAAGATTTAGCTTGGTAAAAAAAAAAAAAATTTACAAACAAAATAAGAAGAAATGAGAAGTCAACTATAGGTTCTTTCAACAGGGAATGATCTAGTTTAAGATATGCTCTAGAACTGTTGGTAGTAGTAGCAAACAGGTAAGAAAAAAAGATGTTATGCATCCATAGTGAACATGTGTGTTCATCATTAGTATACAATATATAATAGCTGTCATTTATTGGATGGAGACAAGGTGGCATACACTGTGTTAAGTGTATATATATACATATATAATATATTGATATATATTATATGTAAAATATAATATAAATACATAGTTTTATCAGTCAGGAGAATTAATCCACAGAATGGTTTAATTGCACAAAGGGTACCCTTAATAGACAGATTAGAAGAAATCTGTTTAGGTGGTCAGGAAGGCTGATTTAGTAGTGAGGAAAGGGGCAGGGTTTCACTATAGGTACACAAGACCAAATACACTGATCAAGAATCCATAGTAGTACATATCCAAGTCAGTCAACTGGATGACTCACCAGGTAAATAAAATCAAGAGATTCCCTTAGACAATGGGAAAGAATTTAACTTACTAGCTTAGTACAGTTTCATCTTTAAAATTTATATTCCACAACAAAAGGCAAGATAAGCCATCTATTAAATAGCCTTGTATTAAAAGAGAAGTTAACAGTAAAAAAAGAAAATGATTTCCCACAGTTTAGAGAACTTCAGTATACACTAGCAAAGCTTATTTGCAGTATTGGTGGTTATATTTCTTTTAGGAGGGCCATATATAATGTTTACTACTAGCAAAAATAAAAACTTATTGACTAAAACTCATTCAGTCTAATTCTTGCTTCTTTTTAGGTCTCTTCTTCAAGTGGTCTGTATACGCCGTACAGGAGGAAAACAGCTATCAAGCTGGCCATAAGTCTGAATCAGGGAAGCAAAGCTTAAAGCAACCAAACAGATTTTTGCTGAGTAGAATGGATGTGTATGTATGGGTGGAGGGTGGGAAGTGTCCAAGATTGTTTTAACTACTTCCACAATTCATTACAATCGGAAAGTTAAAGAATGAAATACATTTATCACTGAATCTAACTCAAATATTCCATGAAATTTTTCTGGTTGTAATTATGTATCCTTTCTCCTAGATGATCTGGTCAATCATTTTGGCATAGTCATCAACAACCAAATCCAGCAGCAAACTAACACAACTGCCATGTGGCCAAAAGGCTGGATTAGCCATAAGACAGTGTGATGACTTGATTCTGCAGGAAAACCTGCAATAGGACTAAGATCATCAGAAGCTCTTGTTCTTTAACTATCATAACCATTTATAACTTACTTGTGATCACAATTCTATAATCAGTTTTCTTTCCATAGATACAGACTAGGCTTTGCTTGATTAGATACAAGTGTTTTCTAATTCTTTTCTATTAGTTTTAAAAATGTACAAAATATCTTAATTAGAATATTTGATAAATGATTAAGGAAAGCAGGAATTAAGAGAAATGAATAACTAGATTTTAAGCCATTGAGAACACAGTAATAGAAAATCAAAAAAAAAAAAAAAGCAAACTAAAAAAGACATGAATGGGGTGCCTAGGTGGCTCAGTCGTTAAGCGTCTGCCTTCAGCTCAGGTCATGATCCCAGAGTCCTGGGATCGAGCCCCACATCGGGCTCCCTGCTCGGCAGGAAGCCTGCTTCTCCCTCTCCCACTCCCCCTGCT